CATACATACATGTGTGTGTGGTCCATGGAAGCTCCATGTATACATATAAACATTTTTTCATGACATACATACATGCATACATACATGCATACATACATGCATACATACATGCATACATACATGCATACATGAATACATACATACATACATACATACATGCATGCATGCATGCATGCATGCATGCATGCATGCATGCATGCATGCATGCATGCATATCGGTATGCATATACGTAGGTATGTGGTGTATATATGCATATATGATGTGTATAGATCTACATACATACATACATACATATATATATATATATGTGCCTGGTATTGATATTGATACTGGGCTTGGTACTGATAATGATGTAGAGTGATAGTGATTTGATATTGATATTCAAAATGATACTGATATTGATGTAGGTTTCTGGAAATCGATTCTGACAAGCCGGTGGGTTCTCCGTGTGCTTGGTGCAAAACGAAGACACTCAGTGTAGGTATACTTATGTGTATACATATATACATATATACATATATATATATATATTTGTTTATATTTATTTCTATTTATATTTATTTATGTATGTGCAAAATGCGTGTACACGTGTGGCTATGCATATATCTATATACATACATACATACATACATACGTACATATATACATACATACATACATACATACATGCATACATACATACATACATACATACATACATACATACATACATACTCACATACGACATACGTACATACATACATACATACGTACATACATTCACATACAAACATACATACATACATATATACATACATGCATACTGCATACATACATACATTCACAAACATACATACATACATACATACATACATACATACATACACACTCACATATATTCACAAGCGTACACACATACATACATTCACATACATACATTCACATACATACATACATACATACATACATACATACATACACACATACATACATACATAAGCACATAATTCGTAAAACCGGTTAGAGCCAGGTGGACATGAGGAGCCCCCGCTTGGCATCCTAAAGCTGCTGAATCCTGGGCCCTCCACGCCAGTCACTGGAGAGGACAATCTTGGCCCCACTCTCTCGCACCACCTCGAGCCAGGACTAAGACATGGCAGATTTTCGGACGCTTTCCGCGTCCAAGGACTCCCAGCAGCCTTACTTCTCAGGTTTCTGCAGGAAGGTGCATAGCAGAGTCCGGCTTCAGCTAGCTCTGCAGCTACGACTCAGCCCTTAGTCATGATCACCTTTCGCAAGAGGAGAAGCCACAACGTTTGAACACCTCCCTGTGCTGCTGAGCTTGCTGCGCGAGCGAGGTTTTGCAGAAGCTTCCTGAGCCCATCGGTAGAGTCAACCGAGTTCTCATGGATTAGAGCAGTAGCGAGGTCGCGAGCAGACTCGATCAGGGACTTCGAGCCGCAAGCTCTGGGTTTGAAGGGCCTTCAGGACTTCGCAGGCTAATCAGCACCTTTTGCCATGAAGGTGGCTGCGCAGATTCTGCACGGCTTGCGCTGGCTCGTGCGTTGGCAGGAAGTAGCTCAGAACGGAATAGGACAAAGCTGAAAGCAACAGCTGTTGAGCCGAGGGTCTCTTCCATGATACATGGACGACGGGTGACTAGAACACCGTCAATGTCCAGGAAGATGACGCGCATTATCTCCGCATGGCAGTCGTCCGTGACCAAGGGGCACACGGAAAAAGTCTGCGGTGAGTCTACAACTCAGTCTACAACATGGGATCATGAATTTTGCCCCAAGGCTGTGAGGAAAGATCTTGTTTGCACTTTGGAAGCTCGGATGCAAGCAAGGCTGTTGAAACCTGTTGCCCGTGCTGCCTGAACTAACCCTCGGTTCACTGCTTCTGGCCATTGCTGCACACGCAACATTTCTAGTGCAAGGATGATTTTGTCAATGAAGTGCGGAAGATTCAGGCTTATGAAAAGAAATGCTGACGGGCCACTTCACGTGCAATGGCAACTCCAGCGAGCATGGTAAACACAAGTGTGCAAGGGCTACTGACACATCAGTGCCTGCCAAAGTGCACACGTGCAAAGGCACACCTTCCTAGAGCCTGCACCTTCTTGCAAACTCTCTGTGACCCACTAGGCCTGGTCTTTGGGCTGGGTGTCGCATTTCAGCGCGAAGAAGCCTTTTCCCTCAGCCTCTGTTGCGAATCAGAATTTGCATGGTCAGCATTCGAGCGACTGAGACGCTGTCTGCTCATGAGGCATGACGCGCCGGTTTGATAGAAAGGCCCGAAAAACAAAGGGAGCAAGCCCTACTGTACCACCTTTCGACATCTTCCGGTGGTTACACGCTGAGAAGGACACGATTTGCTTGTTGACAAGATGTGAGCCGGCTGTGCCTTCTTGAAATTCGCCTCGGGATTTGCCGCACTCCAGTCCTTTCGAGCGGGGGTCGGGCGCTCAACAGCAAGCAAATCTTGGGGGCAGCTAGTTATACTGCTTCTGATGGTTAGTGAAGGCTAGTGGTTCAGTGAAGTGGTCAAGGGGGTCTTGTCGGGTCGGTTGCAGCCAGTCCGCAACATGCATGTTGGTTTTTCCAAGCCATACCCGGCAGTTGCTGCTGATGATGGTGTCCAAAGAAGCTGGACGAACTTACGATACCGGCCCATGCTCAACATGTTTGGAGCAGTGGCCGCTGCAAGCAAGAAGGGCCCATGTTTGTCACTGGCCTGATGTCACTTCCGCTTCACTTAGCAACAGGCAAGGGTTGAGCGAAACTTAGGCCTGCCTTCAAAGGAACCACAGATCCACTCTGGTCGATGCACTGAGCTTCAGGTTGACCGATTGCCCCGTCACCCGCTGTGCAGCTCGAGTTGTCTAAATTGTGAGACTGATGCCGCACAGCCATCTGGCAGGAGTGACGTTGCGATCCCAACTACTTGGATCACTCAAGACAGCTTCCTTGCGAATTCCGTGCCCATCGAACCATGCAAGGCACGCTCCCAGTTCATGCAAGATCTCGACCAAGTCCCTTGAGCAAGCCAAAACCAACTCCAATGTCTAAGTACTCTTCCACTTGCCTAAGCTGCTGCTCAGCAGGGCACTCGGTTGATGTGTCGCAACATGCAACGGTACAAGGACAAGAACAGGTTGGTGATATCAATTTGGTGCAAGCTCCGCATTTGATCACGTTGACAGCGGGGAATCACTCTAATCGCAGGGCATTTGGCGTCAGCACGACGGAGCCACATCTTCGAGCTGACCTCACACAGCCAGGCTACACTGTCAGCTCAACGGATGCTCTCACATATAGCTACGACAATTCATCGTTTCCTTCAGGCCATGGGCAACTTCTGGCTTCACCACCAGAGGGCAAGGCCTTGCCGGCACTGGGATGCGCGATCCCACATCAAGGCCAGCCTGATAGTGGACCGGTTAGAGGACGCTTTGCTCTTTTGTTTCTCTGCCGCGGTGCGACTGCCCAGCAGTGATCGCCGGAGAAACCAGATTGAAAGCATCCGAGGCCGCAGCAGGCGCCCGAGGTCCCCAGAAGCCACTGCAGACGCGGCTTCAAACTGCAGACAAAGCCTCGGCCAAAAGCACTCAGAGAAGCGAAGATTTGAAAAGGCAGGTCCGGCCCAAAGGCAAGTCCATAAGACATGTAAGGAAACTCAGAGCATTGCGCGGGGCCAGTCCTCTTGATCAAGGTTCATTCTACTTCCATCCGGTGGAGTGGATACCAAGCAGTGCCTTAGCCGCAGGCGACGGCGGTGGCTCGACGCACAGCAGCCGCCCGGTGGCATCCCACTGCGCCTCTGACGCTTAGGAAAGAAACTATCCATAAACTGACTCTTGGTCGTGAAACACGACATCCAGACAATGCTGCAGCACGGCCTTCGCACTGATGTGCGAGGACGAGCCTTCCGATGGCAACGTGCCGGCCCTGCCAGAGATAGCGAGCGAACCCGCAGTCTGTGAGAGTGCATGACCGCAGATTGCTCTATGGCACAATCTGGAGCTTCCGACGGCCCTAGCAAGGTTGGAACCTTGAGGGAAGCTGAAAGCCTCAAAGCCGACTCAAGGCTGTGGACTGTGAACATCCTGAGCTGAGGCCTAAGCCAGGAAAAGCTACAAAGACCCGTGTACTTCCATTTGTGCCTTCTCTTTTGTGTGACTACATCCTGTCCGCAAGTTGATCTGTACGACTTCGCCTGCTCAGGAGGATCAGCCCGTCACGCTCGAAGAACTGAATCCTCGCACTTTGAGCTGGCGGGCATCGCACATCGGTCCTACGGTCACCAGCCCGTAATCCCCAAAACCGCACTGTCCTTGGTAGGCCCAGGTCTGCCTCAAAGGCGGCCAGCCGCTCCAAGCGAGCGATCTGGCAAGGGCATGTTTTGGAAGTGGGCAAACCGATAGTACCAATAGTTGAGTTTACAGTGCAGGCGAAGTCCGTGTCCGTCTGGGTGAATCGAAAAGCCATCTCTCAACACCTATAAGTCCAGCTGAAAGACCTGATCTCCCGATCTCCGAATCTGGCGGCTTGATGTCGGGGGCCCAACAAAACCGAAGAACTCGAGCCCAACTCAGCGCTGACAAAGGCAGAGCACCTCTTCAGCCTCCGCAGCCTCTGCCTTGACAAGCTCCTGCACCAGGGCCTGCAGCAGTCGTTTCTGCTCATACACTCACCTTTGCCCTTTCATTCGGCTTCTTCTCATGTAGCGAAGACAGGCCGATACCTGGAAACCTGACATGCGGCTTCAACAGGTAAAGGTTCCGCTAGGATAAAGGGATTCGGACAAACCGTAGACGACTTGAAAGCGAATTATCTGCCTCCTCATCATCTGGGATCGAAGAGGTTCGGAGTCTTTTCGCCTCAAATTCTAACTCACCGGAAAGCGTGCATGAGACTTCCTGGTGGAAGGACACGGCCTGTTGGGGCTTCATCCCCGAATCAACTAGCCCACGGCATCCGAGCATCAAGCCAAGAGCCGATGCCTTCCCTGGCAGCGCTCTTTGTTTCAAGCTGGGCCCATGGCCATCAGGCGAGCCCCAGCCGACTCCTCCTGACATCAGCTACAACGATCCGTTTCAAGGCCCTGCATCTGGATAGTGGGAGGTCGGATGGCAATGGCTCAATCAAGCTGCAACGACTCCGACCTCATGTAAACCCCCCAACATTCAAGCCAAGCTTGGCATCAGCATACGTCAGCTCCGCTTGGACGAAAACTCTCTAACCCTATTCTCGTTTTGCCCCTCCCTCCGGCCTCCTCCTGCTCCTCCTGAACAGAGATGCGCAAATCCTCCAGCTCCTCCTGACAGAGCCTCTGGACCAGGTGCATAAACCCAAGCCGGCGCACCCCAAGACTGAGACGATGACTGCGACGACTGGGGCTGGGATGAAGACTGTGGGCATGATTACTGAGGAGTAGTAGCAGTGGTGGTGGTGGTG